ATCCTTGATGCTGTACCCAGCAATATTTGATGTATGTCAAAGTGGCTTGTTAATCAAGTATGGGCCAGACAAACCAATGATTGATATGAATGTCTCACACCATCAAGGTACAAGAACACGCATCAGACAAATCCCTTTGTGTCAACACCTGTAATACGTGGGGCTTAAAACATATTACCTGGAGTTTTGCAAACCTCACAGTTTGTTCCAATCAAGTAAAGTTATGTACATTCAGGTGCTTCTAACCATTTCAGTTCACCATCACAACAAATTATAATTATCAGTTCTTAGTATGCACTATGTCCGCATGCTGTATGCATGTATATCATAAATCATAGGATATCATGATGCACAAGAGAACTGCTTCATGACTGTATGTCATAAATCATAGGATATAATTAGACACATGAGAGTCCCTTTGAGTGTACATATAAAAACACAGGATATCATGACAAGTGAGTGAGTGAGTGAGTGAGTTAGTAAGTGAATGAGTATGCTTTTACGCCACTTTTAGCAATATTCCAACAACATCATGACAGGGAACACCAGAAATGGGCTTCACACATTGTACCCATGTGGGGAATCGAACCAGTCTCTTCGGTGTGACGAGAGAACGCTTTAACCACGAGGCTACCCCACCGCCGCTGACACAAGTATGTACACTTTAGTGCATATATATTATAAACTATAAGATATCTTGATACAAATGAGTCACTTCAAGCATGTATGTCATAAACCATAGGATATCATGATAAAGGTATAATGCCTAATAATAAGGATATCATCTGCTACCTTAAGTACCAGTATATCCTTGACAGTGTTATAGGGATTTATACACTATCATCTTGGGTACCGGTATACATCAGGAAATTAAGATGTTCCACTGTAATCAGTATATACTACAGTATACAATCCTTCATTCTATATTTACATCTGAGCACAGTCTGAAGGCTTGTACCGATACTAAACCCCCACAAGGAAGAGACATAAGCTGAGACATATCACCAGCCTGAACATGCCTCTGTAATGACTGTCTGCCCTGTGATCATATACCTCTCCCAAATTGATCAGCTACTGATTTATCTAACATGCCGGCTGAGTCAAATCCATCACATTATATAACTATAAATCCTAATGACAGATAAGAATGGTTTAGTGCATTATGAAGTGAAGAACCCTCATCCATACATATTTATAAAAACAAGCCACAACTGTCCATGATCTGACTCTCCATCCGTGAATGGGTAGCTTTGCTCAACTCAGCCTGGTCCATATTGAATAATAAGTCCATGGACTGACTGACTGACTGAGTTTGGTTTTACGCCGCTTTTAGCAATATTCCAGCAACATCACGGCGGGGGACACCAGAAATGGGCTTCACACATTGTGCCCATGTGGGGATTCGAACCCGGGTCTTCGGCGTGATGAGCCAACGCTTTAACCATTAGGCTACCCCACCGACCCAATAAGTCCATGGATGTATTACCATTCTATCGCGTGATTCAAAGTCTATCGGGATCATCAGGATGCCAAGTCTTTTTGTTCTTATATAAAACTGAGGAATGTTGATTTCTGTTCAGGACTTGTTCTTATTTTAATAAACAGTCGTTGATTTTGTTTGGGACAACTTGTTCTTATTTTAATAAACTGATGAATGTTGATTTCTGTTATTGGGACTACTTGTTCTTATTTTAATAAACTGATGAACGTTGATTTCTGTTAATGGGACAACTTGTTCTTATTTTAATAAACTGATGAACGTTGATTTCTGTTAATGGGACAACTTGTTCTTATTTTAATAAACTGAAGAAATGTTGATTTCTGTAATTGGGACAACTTGTTCTTATTTTGATAAAACAAATGGAATGACGTTGATTTCTTTTATTGGGACAACTTCTTCTTATTTTGATAAAACTGAGGAATGTTGATTTCTGTTATTTGGACAACTAGTTCATATTTTAATAAAATGGAGGAATGTTGATTTCTGTTATTAGGACAACTTGTTCATATTTTGATAAAATGGAGGAATGTTGAATTAAACTAATCATCACTGCCTGAGAGACTGTGCAAGTCTAATGGCGGCTGTACAGTTCCCCCTATTACCTACAAGATCTCCTCCAAGACAGATACAGCAACACCAGGCCTGATTCCTTCCGATAACAAGGTGGGATCGCACTGTCCAGTCGTGGTATTCATTATCTCAGAGGCAACTGACGACACAAGCTGTGCATCTGTTGGAGATGTCTGTATCATGTCCGTTGAAGCCCCCGAGTCAGGCTTCCACGCAACACCTTACACCCATAGGAACCTCCTACCATAAACCAAGCCCACAGTAATGGATGGTACACAGACATTGCACTTGCTTGTGGGTTTGCATTGGTATTCATGTGTGTAGCTCAGTGTTATACTTTTTCCAAATATGTATTAAGTCCTATCAGAGACCATTTAATATTATATGGTCTCTGGTCATATATAGTGGAGATTGTTTGGCTTGATCAACTTAGAGAAAGCTAGTGAACTGCATTTTTGGTAAAAGAGCAGAATCTTTGCCAGTTACTTCCTCGAAGAAGGCATTGTTTTCTTTATGAGATGGGTGCTGTTCCAAGAAACAATAAATGCATTTGAATATTTTTAATCCATCAATATGTATTTTACTTGATCTATTTAATTTAGTTGATCAGTAACAAAAACATAAATATTGCTGCCAAATGTTGTTACTTCCTCTATAGTCACAAAATAATGAAGAGCTGTGTGCACATTTCAGAGATTATACTTTCAGTAAGATAATACTGTGATAGTTGCACAGTCAAATTTATTAACATTTAATATCTTAGTGAGTGAGTGAGTGCTTGTCTGTTGTTTTTCGCTCACTCAGCTATATTCCTGTTATTTGGCAGCGATCTGTAAATAGGTTTCTTATCACTTGTTCATTCATCTGAATTTGCTGAGGGGATACAATGAAGATTTTCACATAATCTTACGTATTTATATAATAAAGGTTTTTGTTTTCAATAGAATTGGGGTAAGGGAGGTAACTGCACTGTTAAACACCAATAAAATTGAAGGGACCTTCCTAAATACATTGAGTTATCCGAGGTTTGACACAAACATAAAATAATGATTAAATATTAGGAATACACAGGGACCCATCTTTTACTTAGAGACATCTGTAAGTTTGAACCTCAAAGTTCAACGCTATTGTAATCCAACAAAGAAAGAACCAGTGATGGTCTGGGTTAGAATATTGATCTTCAGTAACCCATGCTTGTCGTAAGAGGGGACTAACAGGATCAGGTGGTCAGGCTTGCTGACTTGGTTCACACATGTCAACAGTTCCCAAATGCGCAGATCAATGCTCATGCTGTTGATCACTGGATTGTCTGGTCCAGACTCGATTAGTTACAGACCGCCGCCATATAGCTGGAATATTGCTGAGTGCAGCGTAAAACTAAACTCACTCACTCACTCACTCACCCAACAAAGACAACAAGGTTTACTCTTTGTAACTATTCTTCACTCAGACAAAATATTGCATAACAGGGGGATTTTGACACTATTCAGAATCTTGTAGTCACAATAATTGAATAACAATACAGTTTATCTCAGCATTAGCAAGGCTACTGGGACAGGTCAAATTCACAGAGAAATCATTTCCATAATGTTATAAGTAGCCAGGCTATGAAATGAATAAGGTACCAAGGGAGCGCATAAAATCCCTTCATCATATTCATTATCAGCAGTGAAAGAAATGTTTTCAAAGATATTCATATACATGGTTGTTACTTTTCAGGAAGAGACATCACCAGCATCTCCAGGGACAACTCACACGTTTTGTGAATTCTAAGTGAACAGAAGATCCGAGCTGACAAGGTGGCTATGTACTGTTCAGAGTGACTAATCACTCCCCAAGGAGGCTGATGATCAAGAGAGGCTACCTCCAGTCCACACTTGTCTCTCAGTTTAACATGTGATGATAGGAACAGACACTGAGGAAGGAAGGTCGTCCATCTTTCTCCTCAAAGTGTGCAGTCCAGGGGAGTGATACCTGCTGTACCTTGTAGTCAACTGCTTACTGGCAACATAGTGTGTTGTCAGCAAAACCTGGTCAGTGAAGGTGCTTCAAGATATACAGTCAACTGCACTGTGGTTAGAGGGGGTGCTTACTACTTGTCAACAGAGTTGTGTCAGAGAAGGTATCTGCATATATATTGTCAACTGGACTGTGGATAGAACAGGTGCTTGCTATTTGTCAACAGAGTTGTGTCACAGAAGGTGTCTGCACATATATTGTCAACAAAACTGTGGATAGAGGGATTTCTGATTATTGTGAACAGAGTTCTGTCAGAAAAGGTATCTTCACATATATTGTCAACAGCACAGAAGATACAGAAAGTACTTGTTTGTTGTCAACAGCGTTGTGTCGGAGAAGGTATCTGCTCTCCTGCTTCTTGTCAACTGATGACAAAGTGTAACATGTGGCATATAGTCCAAGGTCAATTACACTGTTCGGGATTACCTGCTATACGGGATAGTGAACAACTTGTTGTGGTCTGCTGTTGACTGAGCTGAAGTCAACAACTCTGTTTGTGCGAGGTGTAACCAACAAGCACTGTGTCAGAGAAGAGTCACATTGTGTCACAGTCTACAAGACTGGTAGCCAACAGGTACTGTGTCAGAGAAGAGTCACATTGTGTCATAGTCTAAAAGACTGGTAATCAACAAGCATTGTGTCAGAGAAGAGTCACATTGTGTCACAGTCCACAAGACTGGTAGCCAATAGGTACTGTGTCAGAGAAGAGTCACACGGTGTCATAGTCCAAAAGACTGGTAATCAACAAGAACTGTGTCAGAGAAGAGTCAAATTGTGTCCCAGTCCACTGGTGGCCCAGAAGGGTGGTGATAACCTGCTATAGGTACAGGTAGTATTGTAGCAGCCAGCAACCCTCAGATCAAGGTGCACAGGTACCTGACACATGTTGTATCCACAGCCCACGTGCCTACGGTGTGCTGGCAACAATAGTGTTGTCGGAAGTGTACAGATTATTTGGTGTCTGATGTGTACAGCTGATATTGATTGAAGATATGTAAAGCAGATATAGGAGTAAAAAATCTATAGGTGAAACTAGTGCGACATATGTACAGATTGTGGGACATCAGAAGCTGTCGGCTCGTGTTTGTATTTCAAGTGTGTGGAACTTTGAATACAAAAATAGTGGAATACATGCACAGAGACCGCCATCACTAGTGACAATCTAAATCATGTCTGTAAACTACATGTGTTATAAGCATTGACACACTGAAGCTACTATTGGTATCAGAGGAGTGAAGCTACTATTTGTGTCAGAATTTTGAAGCTACTATCTGCATCTGATGATTGAATCTATGCTTTGTCTCTGAGGATTAAAGCTTCTATTTGTTTCAGGAAATTGAAGCTGCTGTTGGTGCAAAAGGGTTGAAGCTGCTGTTTGAGTCAGGAGATTGACTTTGGATTGGTATCATGTGATTAAAGCTACGATTTCTGTGAGGAAAGTGAAGCTACTATTTGTGTGAGAGGATCAAACCCATTATGAGTTTCAGGAGATTGAAGCTACTATTTGTAGCAGAGGTCTGAAGCTCATATTTTTCGTCAGAGTATTTGAAGCTACTGGTTGTACCAGCGGATTACAACTACTATTTGTGTCTTCTGATAAAAAACACTATTTGTTTCAGTGGATTGAAGCCACTCTATCTTTCAGGAGGTTGAATCTACTGTTTCAGGAGATCAAAGTTACAGCTTGTGTCTTTGGGGCTACCTGTGAATAGTGTCAGATATCGTGGAAGTGAATCTCAGTCCCTCACTACTGGAACCACAACAGTCCAGCAACATAGTGCTCAGCATCAGAAGCGGAAATATTAAAGCGTCTGATGCGCTACACAAAAGAGTAAAGTCTACATTGTTTCAATGTAATCAACAGCTGAATGACCCACTCAGTGCATTGCCTTGCTAAACACATTCTGTATCAGCTCGCAATGATGGAGTTCCCAGTGTTAACCAGCAACCAGTTAATGTAAATCTACTTGTGGTGTTTAATCTATCAACACACTGGAATAAACACAAGGCACTTTGTTCCATATGGATTAATTCGGGATCACAGATGTGAAAGAGCTCAGTGTAGTGATTGTATATCTGCAGAGGGAAAGTACAATGGCCGTAACACACCAGCGACCAAACATCGCAACTGGATGTAAATCCCAATGCTGGTCCTCAACAAGAAAAGCTCAGTAATTGTGAACATTCTGGGATATCTCAACGCCATCCTGTTGACAGTTTAGACAGGCTGGAGTATTGCTGAGTGTGGAGTAAAACTAAACTCACTCACTCTAACACTCAACAGTCTTCTAAGGAGGAACACCAGGAGTACACATAACTGTCGATATCAGCGTTATAATCAAGGTCATGGTCATCAAGTGTCTGTCCCACCATTCCGACTACTGCATGCTTGGATTCACTACATAATAATTTTTGTCACGCATAAACAACTCACAAAGCGTAATTTATGACAACACAAAGCATAACATACCATACTAACACTCTGAGGATTACTGAAGCCAATATCATTATCAAATGTCTGACAGGACATTATCATTTGAAAAATGCATATTTATGAGTAAACTTTGAAACAGGCCATTTTTTTAGATATTCAGTTCCCATGTGTTTATAAACTAGAAAGCTTTTTACACAATTTACATTTTGATTAAGCGGGCCTGTCATTCAGGTTAGTTTGGAGAAAGAGGTTAGTTTTTCCATCTGTTTCAAACTGTGTGATAAATGGACAACGCTAGCACGTCCCTCGGGACATATGACAGATCACAAAGGGTATGTCAATTTTTTAAAGTTCAGTCTTATTTAGAGAACAAGTCATCAGATTGATAACTTCAAATGAAGTTAAGAAGCCAAGGTGGCCATCACCACAAAGAAACAGGCCGAGAGTCAGAAATTTGACAAACTGCAGCTGCACTGCAAACCAACAACATTCCTTGGGGACCAGAAAAACACAATCGCATCTCAACTTTCTGATATCATTTTGAAAAGTTTTGGATTTGTGGTGAAAAATATGGAGAGTCAACACTGAAAAATTGTCAGCTGAAATTCTCGGGAGAATTGCAAATTACGATTATTGCAAAATTGCCCAACTTGTCATCAAACAGGATATGGTTGGTGATCAAAAAAGCCTTTCAAACCATGTGACAAATCTGCAAGTATCACAAATTTCATAAATGCATTACAGCCATTTTGTCACTTTACACTTAGTGCCGATGAAGTGTTTCGTCACAGTGCTGCAATAGTGATCCGTCTTTTCAACACAGCAGAGGAAGTGGCTCTATTTAACTCTTGCCTGCCACGTACCAGCATGTAAGTGAACTGTGAAAGGGAGATTGAGACATAGGAATCTTCTGTCCAAAGCTTGGATTTCGTCTATGTCTAGCACAGTAGTAGCTGTGTAGAGGAACCGCTCAAGAAGCACCATTAAGACAAATCAATGAGAAATCCTTCTGGATCATGCCTATTGTGACCATCAGTGTAGGGTGGACAGGAGAGTAAGCACTGAGAAAAAAAATAACATAACAAATGTCGCGGGGCCAACTCGGTAAAGCGCATTGCAATCAGCACCTACATTCCATCTGATTCCAATAAAGCCAAGGGCAGGTATCAGCATTTGAAACATGAACTTTAAGTGTCAGATTTACATAGAAAGTATCATGATGATTCTATTGAGTATTGAGAAAATCAATGGTGGATCCCACAAGGTGCAGCTCAGCGCACCCCAGAATGAGACGTTCCTCGTCTATTTCAATCCACCAGTGATCAATAATCTGAAAGTGAATTCACGACAGAGCGTCTATTTCAACTGTTCGCTGCTTGAGCCTGGCTCTGGTAGCCAGGAAAATAGCACATCTTATGCATTTGTGATAGTCTCAGACAATGACAACATAGCCCGGCCAGTGGTGGACAGTCTATATGACAAGCCGGTGGATATGGAGCAGGAGGAACGATATGCTGTCATGTCTGTGGAAGCTGACCGAGAACACAACTTCACCATTGAGGCTATGCACATTGGGCGTGTGACGATGTCTGTCGCAATGCTCAACACATATCACACAAGCATGGATGTACCGGAGGCCCACTATGTCCAAGCCATCAGTGTCGCTGTGAAACGAGAACAACGTCTTGCCGACATTGTGTTTAATAGTTCGGCTGCTGCAGTGGCCATCCTTATAAGTTTTGGCATTGGCTGTGTGACCGATACTGAGAGCCTGAAGAGACAGTTGAAATACCCCGTGTCCCTCGTCATTGGCTTTTGTTGCCAGTTCATCCTCATGCCTGTTGTAAGTATTACCTGAGTTTCATCAGCATCTGTCTGTACAGGTACTCCATATAGATTCATGCATCCTGTCTCACCTCAGCATCTACTCATAAATTATGTAAGACTTGAAACCATGATGAAAATTATCAAATATTGCTGCAAAATATACAATAACCATTAATTCCCATCGCTTTGGAACTGCTTATTTTTTAACAAAGAATTCTCATTCAAAATTCCTTGGGATTTATTTCAAATTTGGTAAAAATATAAAAACGGTCCCAGAAAAAGTTGAGAAAATTATGAAAATTTCCTAATGACATTTGACTCAAGTAAAATCACCACAAAGTAAACACAATTTGATTATGATTTGTTTAAACTAAAAAATAGTTGTTCCTTTAGACATGACAATCTTGTTTTCGAACCCGTGATATTAGATTGTGTACAAGTTTCAGAGTTTCAATTTCCTTGTTATCATGATGAAGACATGGATTTGCATGATACAGTCTCTCATAAAGATTCAACCTTGCCACCAACCTGTTAAAACCACCTGCTAGGTTACAAACAGTAATAATAATTCTACACTGGCTATTTGCATATCTTTACCACTATACTCATCAAATGATGCATGTTATACAGTTTCTTTATCCACATGTAGGGTCCATGCCTGTTCTGTCACATGCCCTGCCTCTGTATAAAGATACAAACTACACACAGCCTCTGTATAACAATAATCAATTCATAGAACATCAATACACATTTCCATTCTATTTAACCTACGTTAATTGTCAACTGCTTTTCCCCATTACCTCTCAAACTATACCTATTGAAATAACTGATAATGAAGTAAATGTTTCAACATCCTGGCTAGCATTGCATGACTGATCTGAAAATAACACGCTCGCAGCATTGTCATGTAATGTAGAGGTAAATTCTGGAAGCTAACACATGGATGTTCAGTGTTAGTAACACTCCTGTGTTATGTGCACTCACAAAAATGTCTGGACAAAAGCTGTCTTTTTGCCCTTCATTGATACAACCAGCCAGTGCTTCAACCCAATAGCATTCATTAAACTGACTAAACACAACACCCAACTCCATATAATAATACAAGCCTGGAATTAGTAATTGATGGTGCCTCATGAAAGGTGTTGGTTTGGGGACATTCTGCTGTATCTTCACAAGGAATGTTTACCGTACGTACACATGCCTTCAGGTGGACACCATATTAACATGAATAACGCCAGAGATAATCAGGCCTTGGTATTGATGTGGGGTTTGTCTGATACTGATGCAACCACCAATCATTGCCTCCTGCTTTCTTAACGTGTTGTCCGATACCATAACACGCCCTTGCAAGAAATGCCAGTGAGTTGGATAAGAAATACGGTTCTTATGATAAACAGAAAAGGAACAATATTGTATCGGGCACACATGGGTACAAAGTGTGAAGCCCATTTCTGGTGTCCCCCGCCGTGATGTTGCTGGAATATTGCTAAAAGCAGCGTAAAAACAAACCCAGTGACTCACTTGTATCGGGCAAATATCACACACACATGTAACATTCAAATTGACATCATCAGGACATAAATCCAGGGACCCTAAATCGCTCATTTGATGATTAGGGCCCTTTGATTTTTAATTCTTGGTTCAAACTCTCTACATGAATTATGTCAACTCATGAAGAGACAATATGTGAAGAATTTGGTGTAAATCAGCTCTGTTGAAACTAATGTTTAACAGCTGAATGGATTTCTAACTTCTTTAAGGGGCATTTTTATAAGTTAGAGAGTCAGATAAGGATAAACTTTATGGATGAACAACTTCTCTATTCAGGAGATGCGAACTTTGATGCAGATTCTTGAATCGTTGTCATGTAATGCGTGCCCATTGCCATATACCTGCTTGACAACGATACAAGAACCTGTATCAAAATGTCGCCTCACCTGAATAGAGAAGTTGTTCATGCATAGGGGCATCATAAAGTTTGTCTTTATCAGCTGAATGCATATTGTTGCCAGATAAAAGTCCTTACTAAATACTATGATTAACTTGGTAGCCACAAAAGAAATGTTATTTTGAACAACATTTCCAAGATTATGCAAGAACAGCTGACAGTCTCCTGATCATTATCAGTGGAGTTTCTTTATCTACACATGAAATTATTGGACTGGTCCGCCTCACACTGTCCAGTCACAATGGCAGTCCCTTAAATAGCATTTCCAATTATAACCAGATTAATCAAGCACCGACATGTTGTGGTCAATACCTCCACTGAGAAGCTGTCTGCCTCATGACGTCAGTGGAGTGGAGATTGTGTGTCTAAAATGGTTGACATTCAATCCAGATGGCAGCTCATTGGGTATTTCAAGACCCATTAGCTGTGTCGTGTTACAGTATCTCATGCTTAGGAGACTAGAAAGGGGTCATACAGCCAAAATGGATGAGTTCCGCCATGATATGGACCTCTAATGTTTATCATAGACCATAGAAAGAAACCTCATATCCAAATTCATTGTAAGCATGAAAGTGGGCCCTTAAAAGTTGTTGCCTTTCAGCTTGATGAAATCATTTCAGAACTGTCATAAAATACCAACAGACATAGTGTTAGTGAATACTAGATGTATGTTTCAAATTTTCATCCCATGCATTAGTACAAGTGATGTAAATTTTGTTTTTCTGCAACTGTTTCATTGTTGTATTATCTCACAGGGGAATGGGTGGCTATGACATCTAAATCATCACGTCTTAACATCTGTGGTTGCTTCCCTTAGTTGTACTCAGGATCTGCTGGTCATGGGATTAAATGCCAAATTAACCTTAACTGTGGTTAGTAAGCACCATACCTTCACTCTGTGCCACCAAACAGTTATACTTCAGAAATCAACATTATTTCATCATTGCTTCCAAGATTTCTCTGACACGCAATGGTGTGACTGGAATACCTTCAAGGGGTGTTAATCTTACTTACTTTATAACTGAATGTGGTTTTAAGAAGCTTCCAGCCATTTTTCAGAAACATCACATCAAGGGACACCAGCAATACACATTGTTACACTGTACCCAAGTGAGGAATCAAACCTAAACCTTCTGTCTGATGAGCAACACTTTACCAACTTTCCCACCTCAATGATTCCATGAACCTTGTATCAGCCAACCCTGGTAATTTCTCAACACATACCTAAACAAGGGCAAGCTAGTTCAATAGTCACTACAGCCATGTCAGGTAGCAGCCAATCAATATCTGCTGAGAGGAAAACATCATTTCATAACTGCCAAGAGTGTATTATCCTCCAGGATAAGTCCTCAACATCTGTTTTAATACGAGCATCAATAAACTCGTACTGAGTGTAAAGTGTTTGAGAGTGTGAAACTAACTAAATACAACACACCAGACAAATATAGCATGAATTATTAATAGAAGAATGTGATAGTGCTGTTTGTTCATAGTATACAAGGCACGTGACCATGGTGAACGTAAATGTCATCAAGCGTTATAATCAAATGAGATACCATCAGACTATCAGGGAACCTGTAACCATGGGTACCTGTAAGAATTACGGATCCTTATCACCCATAAGTGGAATCCAATGGTCCAGATGTTTGGGCATGATCAATTGTGTAACACTTAGCAATACTGAAGCAATGGGGTGAGTGAGTGAGTTAGTGAGTGAGTTGGGTTTAGTGCCACTTTTAGCAATATTTCAGCAATATCATCAGAACAGGACATCAGAAATGGGCTACTGAAGCAATGGGGTGAGTGAGTGAGTGAGTATTGTTTGTCTCCCAACTGGCCACAAGATTCTCAACTATTTGTAATTTACTAGTGGCACCACAATCAAAAACAGTAAAAATATATACCGTAACAACAGAAAAATGTGATGCCAAATTTATTTTTATCGTCGCAACATCTATAGGCTTTTCAAATTTCTAAATAACAGTCAATAGACCCTGATTGTAGTCATTTATCTCACCCCTTGAATAATCAATAAAAGCTGTGGCCTCTATCTATCAAAATTATGTAAAATGCAATATACAAGTGGAATAATAGAGTGCCGCTGCACTTTTAACGTTTCCTTCACAGATCAGTAAATGTGCTTGACACTGGCACAAAGGGGCCCCATTGAAGCAGTATGTGTCTTGCCATGTGGCGTATGGTGTGATGTCATGTGGTGTGTGGTGAGGCATGGTGTGTGAGTGAGTCAGTCAGTGAGTCAGAGAGTGAGTATGGTTTAAACAATATTAATAATATTTCTGTGCATATGAACATGATATGATTGGAAAAAATAACCAATAAGCAGGTGCATGGTCCTAACAGGCAAATCTTTGATGTGATGCAAATACCAGCCGATCCTGACATAGCAGGGGATGCAACTCTGCACTACAAATTGTGGCACCTTGGAGCAGCACACCGACTTCCATTTGCCTGGTAATCTAAACTGAGCCCTCAGACACTTCAGATTCAGATACTGAGATAGGATACAAAAAACAAACACAGTGGTATTTTTTAGACAACTAACATAAGTGAAAGAGCAATTTCAATGAAATTGGATTACTTTTAACTGTCCAATTCCAACTGTCAGCAATTTGATTACAACAGCGGTGTGTCTGAGCTGTGTCATGAGCTGTCTACAGAAGAAACTGACATGTATACAGCAGTGTAACACTGGTGCTTATAGTCAGCATCCTTAAACATATCAGGGGTAGCCTAGTGGTTAAAGCGTTCACTCATCACGTCGAAGACCCGGGTTGATTCCCCACATGGGTACAAAGTGTGAAGCCCATTTCTGGTGTTCCCCGCCGTGATATTGCTGGAATATTGCTAAAAGTGACGTAAAACTAAACTGACTCACTCACTAAATATATCAGAGAACACTATTTTGTTACCCTGCAAGCTAAAGGCCTACGAAGTTGAGTTATTCTAAAATCTATTGAGCACTACTACCTTTGCTGAAATGAACAAATTTCCAGAAGATTCCATATCTCTATGAAAGCTTGTAAATACCGTTCCCATTGTAGATAATG